TTTATATTTTTAAATTTATATTATGACTGTTTTATAATGGATATTATATTAACAAAATAGTTCAGAGATATAATTTATAAGTAAATTGATATACATATACTATAAGAATGGGTACATATCAAAAATAAGGTCACTGAGAGAAAATTATTTCAAAGTAGCAATCTGTAATAATTCATGATGCCTACCTAGCCCCAGAGTTGGTGCTCAATAATATGTGTTCAATGAATGTATGAACCTCTTCTCAACGTTCATAGATGTTGTCACATATTGTCACATATTGCAGAATTTCCTTTTTTAAGGTTGAATAATTTTTCATTATATATAATTATTCTGTGAAATAAGCTATTGACAGAAGGACAAAAAGTACATGATTCTAATTATGTGATGCATCTAAAGTAGTCAAACTCAGAGAAGCAAAGAATAGAATTGTCATTTTTAGGTGCTGAAATTAAGGGGTGACAGGCAACAGGCATAAAATTTCAGTTATGCAAGATGAGTAAGTTCTTGTGATCTGATGGACAGCATTGTGCCTATATATAACAATACTATATTGTACACTTAAAATGTATTACTAAAATAAATCTCTTAAGTGTTCTTACCAACATTAAAAAAATTTAAAAAAATTGAAAGCCCTTCTACAGAAACCACAGCTATTAATGGAAGAACTGATGAGTAGATTAAGAGCATCAGTTATGAAAGATTTCTACCCAAGCAAAAACTCAGAAAAAAAATCTGAGAAGCATCATGTATCTATAAGTCTAGCGAAGGAGACATCACTGTAATCAACTGCAGTCATCCACATGAGTATTTCCTAAAAGGAATGTAATAGAGAACCTCCCAAATTAATTCAATTCAATGAGGAATTTTAAAAAAATATATTTTATTGATTTTTTTACAGAGAGGAAGGGAGAGGGATAGAGAGTTAGAAACATCAATGAGAGAGAAACATCGATCAGCTGCCTCCTGCACATCCCCCACTGGGGATGTGCCTGCAACCAAGGTACATGCCCTTGACCGGAATCAAACCTGGGGCCCTTCAGTCCACGGGCCGACGCTCTGTCCACTTAGCCAAACTGGCCAGGGCTCAATGAGGAATTATTGAGTGCCTCATATTTGACTTGCAAATGAAGTACGTTAATATGAAATAAGTTATCTATGATTTATGATTTCTAAAAATTTATGTTTAACTTCCACATTGAGGCAGGCGCAGACTAATGTCCAGAGAATCTGAGCCACTTGATGTGATTTCATTCTTTAGTAGGAATCCAGCTTCTTCATCACACCACATGCTCATCTCCTTCCTGCTCCTCTAGGCCATGCTGGAGCTGCACAGACTCAGGGATCAGCACTGGTAAAGCACCAATCTACACGCTCCTCACTTTGCTGATCAAGTGGTTCAGATTTCCTTCACATTTTTAAAAGGTCTTCCCCAATAAAGGTAGGGATACCCCAGCCAGGTGGCTCAGTTGGTTGGAGCATCATCCCATACGCCAAAAGTTTGCGGGTTCAAGTCCTGGGTAGGGCACATATCTAGGCCAGGGCACATATGAGAGGCAACTGATTGATGTTTCTCTCTCTCTTTCCTTTTCTTTCTCTCTCGTATAAATATATTCTCAATGAGGACTTTTTAAAAAATAACTAAGAGGAAAAAATATCTCAAATCCCTTTTCTTCCATATATTTTTTTTCTGGATCATGAACAATATGGAGAATAAAAAAAAAAAAAAAAACACAATAAGATCTGAAAACAAGAGCTATGGAAGAATTAGGTGGATTATTAAAAATAATTATTATTACTCAGTAAAGATTAACAATGAAGGCAGTGAGCTAAGAAGCTCTTAGTGAACTCAGAAAATCACCAGGAAAAGGATTGGTGTTAGAGGGGACCAGCTGGTTTAAATTTCCATTCCATTGTGATGGCTCTATGAGCTGGCACCCTGCAGGCATAGCATTCTGCATCACATCACCTGCCTTAGGGTTCTGACTGGTGGACTTTAAGAGCCTGCTGTGGAAATGCCACTGGCTGAATGTACCCCTGGACACCCAGGGTCATGAGAAGTTACTCATGGAATGTGACCCACAGGAAGAGCAATAGGGTTAAAAGATTTCCTTCCTCTCCTCAGATCCTTGCTTTCCTGGAGACCCACCTACCAGCCTCACATATTCTGCTTGGGAGAACTTTGCAACAGATCAAGTTGCAAAATCAATAAGGCCGGTGAGGATACTTGCAAGGAAAGCTGAGTTCTTATACACAGGAAGAGCAGTGTGTCTGGCTGCTTCTTCCATCAGGCCCTCTGTGGTGCTCCTTCCTATAATGGCACCAGCAGACAGGGCCTGCGCCTAAAGGGGGATTGATTTGATAAGAAATAAAACACGTCAGCACAGAAAAGCCTGAGCAAGTCTTTATTGCAAATGTTTCCATTTTAGCAGAAAACAACCAGGAAGAAACCTGGATGGGCTACGGCAATCAAAACGTTTTACCTCAACAATAAAAAGGACACCATTTAAATACGTGAAATACTTTATTTCTTTGCCAGTTTTTGCCAATTTATACTCCCTTCTGGAGATTGCTTCTGCACCCCCTCAAATTCTCAAACTTGCAAATTCTGAAAAATCTTGCATAGTGTTTTCTATAAGAAACCAAGGTACTTAATGATCACCAGGCCCTACATCACTAGCAACAAAGATGGAATTTCATCATCTAAAATGCTACCTAAGCTTCTACATCTAAAAATTAGATATGAATAAAAATAACTCAAGATATTTGTATTAGGAGTTTAGTCAGATACCGAAAAATGTGGGTCATAGTAAACCCAAAGCAGAAAAAAAAAATTTTTAAAGGCAACTTTCTCCAGTTTTCATTTTAAATGGGGGTGTCAAAGAAACTGTCATTTCCCAGAAAAGTCCATTATTTCTACATGGATTCCACCAACTGATGTGTCTGCCTAACAGTGACAATGATGTCATTAGCGGACAGATGTGCCAGGTCCCCAAGCACACAGCCACTGTCAGGAGCTGAGCACTCCCAGCGACAACTGTTCCCAGGCCCCAGCAAATCTGATGTTTCTCCAGCTAAAAAAAACAAACAAACAAAAAACAACAACAAAAAAAGAAAATGAAATCTAACCGTCCTCTGGCCGAGGCTCCAGAGGCTCCCGGGAAGCACGGTGCTCCGGGAAGAGGACATGGCCCCAGATGTTGGTGGCTTCTGGAAGCTTTTAGGACACTACACAGAAGCTCATGTGACAGCACTAAACCAGGATGCAGTCGCCACTTCAGTGGGTCTGGGCCTCCACACAGCACCACAGAGGGTCTGATGGAAGAAGCAGCCAGACACACCCCTCTTCCTGTTTATAAGAGCTCAGCTTTCCTTGCAAGTTTCCTCAAAGAGAGTAGCAAAACCACTTAAGGCAAGTTTTCTTAAGTTTATTCTTAATAACCAACTAATCTGGAGTGAAACCATTCCTCAAGTCTCCTACTATCCCGCAAAACCCAACCTTCCCCTCCCCTCACATCCCCCTCCCACCCCACATACACACACCCCATATACACACACCATGTACCCATCCCTCCTCTGTCCTCTGACCATGCCCCAACCCACTCTGGCATCCCTTTTTTTAAAAAAAAATATGTCTTTGTTGATTTGAGAGAGAGAGAGAGAGAGAGAGAGAGAGAGAGAGAGAGAGAGAGAGAGGGAGAGAGAGAGAAAAAGACAACATCCATCAGCTGCCTCCAGTACCTACCCTGACCGAGACTGAACTTGAAACCGGGGCATGTGCCCTGACCAGTCATCAAACTGGGAACCCCTTCGTGCACAGGACAATGTTCAAACCACAGGCCACACCGACCAGGGCTGGTGTTGCTTTGTCTCCCCCACCTCCTGGGCCTTAGGCCTCAAGACCTTGCTGTGCAGACTGCAAATCTGGCCAATGCTGAGAACGGCAATACAGAGGAGCAACTGTGGGAACTGAGGGCTCAAGAACTGTGGCACTGGGTCTGCTCTCAAAGGTGCTGGCAGGGCCATTTTCCACAGGGCACCCCATACATTTCAAAATGACAGAGGGCAGCTCTAGAAGGAGTGAGCACCCCAAAAGGGTGGTCTCCAGGAAAGAAACATGGCAGAAATGAAAACACCCAGACCACAGATCTGCAACACATGCCATCAAATATTCCCTCTAAAATCCTTAGCATTCCTTCCCCAAAAGGAACAGAAATGGGGGAAGGGGATGAGAAAGGGAGAGGAAGAGAGGAATAAAAGAAGGGAAGGAAACAAAGAAGGAGAGAGGAATGATGTCAATTTGTAATTCTACTCTGGGATAAAAAGTGTAGTTATGAAATGGCTACTCCATACAGATAGAAATCTGAGGTACAATCCCAGGTTCAGGGAGCAGGATTCTTAGGTGGGAGCCAGCCCTAAAAGCCTTCCACGGGGAGCGTGTGGTTGAGCGCGTAGGCATCGTTATCCTCTTCCTCCAACAGCAGCTTGTCGATGGTCAGGGAACTGATGGCTCTCCTGGGGTCTTCCATGTCCTGAAGGACTGGCTCAGGGATGGAGATGGGGAGCTGGACAAACTGGGGCCCGGGCAGAGCTGGGGCCGGAGGCTGGTACTGCAGGGTGGAGGTGGGCAGCGTGGACAGGGGCTGAGGCCACGGGAAGTAGGTGAGCGGTGCCTGGTGCTCTGGGCCCTCCAGCTGGGGGCCCACTGTGGGTGTGGTGGCACTTCGCGTCTGCGATGGGAGACACAGGACCAAGGGTTAGCAGCCCTGAAGGATTCACTGCCACCCTTGTCCTCTAGGGGGTCTGTTTCCCTTCAACTAGGCTCTTTCCTGCTGTCTCACTCTGGGGGGCTCCACCTGCACCCACTCAAAGCCTCCCTGACAGGAGAGGCTCACACACGCTGTACCCCTTACTCTGTGACTCACTAGCTCCAAGTCCTTGCTCATGCTACTATCCCATTAGAAGCCTATTTCATTGAATATAAAATGCAACCCAACTTCAGAAATGCTGAAATTGATGAAAATACTGTATGCTAAACAATAAACCTGCTGCATAGCATAGTAGCTGTATCACAAAGGTGGCACAGTGTGACCCACAAATGAAGACAGTCCTGGCTCCACACAGCAGCAGCAGCACTCTGAGGTCCCCTTGGGCCAGCAGAACACAGCTCACTCACCTCTCATGACCTCATTGTCCTCTATGTGTCAGCTGGGCCCTTATGGCCATTGCAGAGACCTCTAAACATCAAGGCCACCCTCCCAGGGACTCTGCAAACAATGCCTCTCACCTGCACAGGACCACCCTACAAACCCAGGTCAAGCCTCCTAGAGAGACATACTATCTCCCATCACTGAGGAAGCAGATGGAAGAGGAATATCTCTGCATGGAATGATGTGTGACAGGCCAAAGTCTCCCTCTACCACTCCTGCCTTCCCTGTCATATTTCTCTCCGGTTGCCACCATGTTTTTGAGACTAAGTTATTATAATTATTTAGGAAGAGCTTATTTCAATGACCTAGAGACCTTGTTATAACAGAGATTCCAGTACAGGAGGTCAGGGGTGGAGCCTAGATTCTGCAGGTCTATTCAGATCCCCGCTGATGCCCATGTGGCTGGTCCAGGGACCACAGATTAAGTAGAAAAGCTTAAGGGCTTTTTCCTATGGAATGATGGAGCTGGAAAGGGTCTCAGAGGCCTTCTGGCTTCCCAGCAAGGGCTTATTATTTTCAGTATTCCAAAAATCCAAAGGAAACCCTTCACTTTTGAGTTATAAACCTATGCGGGTCTAATACAACTGCAGGTTTTTTTGCTCAGGGATAGAATTACAGCAACCCAGTACCATAACAGATCTTATCTCCTGCTGATCAGCAGTGCCCACTGGGTAGCTCTAACCAGCTTTGATGAGTCAATTTACAAAGTGGCAAAACAAATAAATTATTTCTTAATAAATATAGCTTGTTTGATACACAGAAACTTTCAAAGCAGGAGGTGGGAATGATGAAAGGATAAATAATGAAAAGAATCCTTGGTCATGAAATGGTTGGGAACCATTAAATCTGCCACCCCTACTCCCACCCCAAGCACTCTGATATGCAAATGAGTTAGTTGCCTGGGAAAGGTGTTGAATTAACTCCTTTCTATCCACCACCATCCAGGCCCCAGAACCGGTTTGCTGGGTAATCAGATGAGCATGGGGTAGGAGGGCTCCTGCAGGCCATGTCTGGATGAGACTTGAAGGGCAGGGGCATCAGGATAACACTTAACCCTGAGGGAAATGCAGGAGTCTTAGAGAACCAAAGCAAGCTTCATCATCAAGGTGGGCTCTACAACTACTCATGAGGCCCCAAGTCCACCTCCCGTTTTCTTGAGACTAAAGCTGGACACAGTTGTAACCAGAGGACTTTTCTTCTCTTGAACATTTGGGGGATTCCCAGGTCTTTGATCAAATGGGTACCATTCACATAAAACTATTTCCATTCCTTCTTTCATTCTTGGGAACAGGCCATTCCTTTCCTATTGAGCACTTGAACGGCAGCCCTTAGTGAATGTAGTTGGTCGACTTTGAGACAATTATAAAAACTGGCCTTAATCAAGTGCTTTCTGTATGCCAGGAGCTATGCTAAGCCCAGGAACTAGGCTGAGACCTCTACAGGCATCATCCCATTGATCCTGACATCAACTCTCTTGTTAGTATTCCCATTTTACAGATGAGGACACCAAGGCTCAGAAAAAGTAAGTCACTTAGCCCAGGGCCAGGGATTTGAACCCAAGCCATCTGACATTAGAGGCCTAATTCAAAAACTCTGACCTACAGGTGGATCAGATTCCATCAAAAGTACACTTTTCTGAAAACGTGTATCGCCTATTGCTCCGCCTAGAAATCTCTGGTAAATCCCATTGTTAAGGGAATGATCGCCCATTCACTTATCTGAATAGAAAGAAAAGTCTGGCTGTGGCAGGAGACCCCATCAAGATCTCAAGTGGTAACCTATTCTCTGCTTACAGGGCAGCAGGGATGCTTCAGGACAGAGAAGCAGACATCCAACCCCGAGGAGCATAGGGCATGGCAAGGGAGGCCATAGCCTTCTTTGTGGAGGATATTTTAGGTCAATGGGAATGTGAGCAGGTCTCCCAGGAGGATGAGGTGAGTTTAGGTGACCTAATTATCCTGGGAATCAGTAACAAGAAAGATCAAGAATCAAGAAGCCAGCCATGTTCTAAAAGAGTGCCCTAGACATGGGTTGGTTCAGCCCCACCTTTGAGTGACATACCGTGACATTAGTGATGAGTGGCTGGGAGGCGTAGGTCAGCACAGAGGAGGGCCCCACAACAGTGTAGCTGGGGCACACCGGCTGCACATACATGTCAGCTGAGTAAGGGCAGCTGACAGCTTCATGGGACACATACTCAGTGTAGGGTGTCCACGGGGCCAGGGGCTGGAGGGTGGCAGGGGCAGGCTGAGAGAGCCAGCCGGCACACAGGGCCCCCTCCTCCGTCACGGTGGAGGCAGCGACCTCCATGTCCAGGCAGGAAGGACCTGTGGGAAGAAGGAAATTACAGAGCTGCAGGGCCGCCAGATGAGGGGCCTGGAGGAGGCCAGGGCTGTGGGGAGCGCTTACCCACTGTGGTGTACGTGGCCAGGGGCTGATGGGGCAGCACCACCTGTGGGGGAAGAAGACCAGGGTCAGTGTTCAGCCATCTCCAACTCGCCCCCTGCAGGAAATTTGCCCCAAGGGCCCCAGGGCAGGAGGTATAAGGGAGAATCGGCCTTGTTAGAACAAAAAGGCCATCCCCTGTTGGGATGGCCTTGCCCCCATCCCAACCACCACCAGCGACACTTTTGAGGGGTTCCTGTATCCATTTAGCAAGAAGGCTGTGCCCTTGGGGAACTGGTATTGCCCTCTTCCTGGGGGTGGGGGGTGGGGGCATGGGGATCAACTCGCACCAGGATGTGGGAGCCATTCTCTCACTCAGGCGTTAGCTTCGTTCAGTGGGCCAGCCAGCCAGCCCGCATCGCTCATCCCATTTCATGAACCCACCAACCTGTTCTACCCTAAGTCCATTCTCTGGCAGCCATAACTATGGCAAGGGTTGCCTTCGTGCCCCATGAGCATCCCATGGGGCAAGGAAGCACACTCCTGCCCCACCTCTCCCATCCCACCCCACCACACCGGCCACCGCGGCCCCCTCACCGCGGTCGGTGTCACCGCCGCCCCGCTGCTGGCATGGCCACGCTTCCGCCTCAGCAGTTCCTTCACTGGCTCCTTCACGCGGACGCCCTGGTACGGCCGGGCCGGGGCCGGGGCTTGATCTGGCGCTGTGGCTGTGGAAACAGTGTCCCTGGGGCTCATCTCCCTTCTCGGCCAACTCCCACCTCAAAGTACCTCTCTCCTCAAGGCTCTGCCTGCTCACCTAAGCGGCGTCTGAGCGCAGAGGGCCACATGAGCCTTCCTAGCATATTTCTCCCATATTGTCACTCCTCCTGGCCCAGCCCCCTGTGGCTCCCCTCCACCCGGACGATTAACACCGAGCCCCTTCGTCTCAAGTAAGGGCCCCAGAGGGTGATGCCAATGGGTGATCCATTTCTCCAACCCTGTGCACGCCGCCTGTGACATAAACCCTGACTCCAGCCAGGTCTATCTAGACTTCTCCACGTGTTCTTTGCCTGTCTCACCGCTTATTCTTCGCTTGAGATGTCACATGGTCGGGATTCCCTCTCACTTTTCTCAGCCCCTTGGTTCTTCCTAACCAAGACTGGTGCACCATTCCTGGCTGACCCCTGCAGCCCACAGAACTTGTTTCATTCTACTGCCTCTCAAGCCTGTCCAGACCTGGTTAGTATTCATCACAGGGGGCAGCAGAGGATGACAGTTAGAGCAGGGACTCGGAGTCAGATGGCACAGGCCTCTTAACCTTCCTCTGTGACATTCGAGAGCTGTGTGATTCTGGGCAAGTTACTATACCTCCCTGTGCTCTGACCTTACAATTTCTTATTAAAGGAATTTTATACGGAATCACTGACATAGTAAATGGGAAGCATAGTATATGCTTAATATAAAATCTGATGCAGAGTAAGCATTCAATACATTTTAGTCTGCTATGTAATAATTAGTTATCTTTTTTCTTAACTAGATTCTAAACTTCTCAAGGTCAGATATTGTACCTTATTTCTCTAAACCTTCCCAAGTGGCGTATTCATAATAAGCTTAGTAAGTTATTTGCTGAGTCATTGATTGGGTGATAATTTAAAATGTGCCATCTGTCAATCATCTTCCCTTCCCCTCTCCTGGGCCTTTACAATGGGCTGGAGCAAACGGTTCCCACTTTCCCCATGGCTCCCGGGGTACAGGACAAACATCCAGTGGTGACCCATGTGCCTGGGTCTCTAGGCTTGCTGCGGAGAGAAGGTCCCCTCTGCCTTTTGTCATCAAAGCCAGGAAACTAAAGCGTGGAGCTCAACAGGGCCCTTTCTGTCCTGGCTGAGCAAGTCTGCAGCAGCCATCGGCTTGCCCCGACAATCCACAGCCCAGGGTGACATGCAGCACTGGCCCTTAGAACTCATTATCATCCACCGATAAGGGCCACAGGGACTGGGCTCTGAATCAAAAGCCCGGAAGCCTGGGTATCTGTTAAATCCGGATCCGCAGCACTGCCCGGGTTGAACTTTGCTCGGTAAATACCCAGCTGATAAGCTCCCGTGCCCGACTCAGCACCAGACCTCCATCTGTGCTCCAGGCACACACATGGCCTGGCCTCCGGGCTCAGCAGGTGGAGAAGGCAACAGGAAGTGGTGGGAAGGGGTGTCTCAGAGCCCCAGGAACACATGACGTGGAGTCAGAGAACCCCAAACTCAGATGCATTCGTTGGGGCTTTTGGACCTGGCCAAGTCATAAAGCAAAGTACAGGTACCCATGCCCAGCACCTGGATATTTAATGTTGGGGATTTAATGTTGGCCTAGGAATCCTAGGACTTATAAAAATCCCTCAGGTGTTTCGGAAACTGTACCGACGTGAGAACCACTAATAATTCATTCCTGATGCAATACAAGAAACTTCCTCCAACATCCTGATAGGACATGAGTTGCTCTCTTTTTAATTTGCGATGTCATAACAAGGGATCTCTACTGGTATTCATTCATTCTTCCAGATGTCCCTAGGCACTAGGAATGCAGCATGGAAGAAGATAGGTGTGGCCGCTGCTCACAAGCATCTCGCAGTCCAGTGGGAGAGATGAGCATGAATGGAACATTCACAACTGTGAATTCAGCCTGAAACGGGAGAGCATAGCAGAGGGAGCCCACCTGTTACCTGTGCCCCAGGACCACCTGTGCGCCATCACCTTTGTTCTAAGAAGCAGTGAAAATGTGCCTGAGAACCAAAAATGCCTGTATTCAGATGATTTCTTTAACCTCCCTGGGCCTCAATTTTCTCATCTGTGAAATAGAGATTATAACTCCTGTTTCACACGATAGTTGTGAAGATTTAACTAAAATAATGCATGGGAAACTCCCCAAACCATATCCAGCATATAGTAGATGTTAAAAACATGCTATTTTTGCCTGGCTGGTGTGGCTCAGCTGTTAAGCATCGACCTAGAAACCAAGAGATCACTGGTTCAGGGCACATACCAAG